ACGACCCCCTTTTGTAATCCGAAGTCAACATTATAATCCCATGAAGGGGAGGGGGATGCACTCTGTAGGAAGTTTTGGTTCCTGATGGAACGAGTATGGGAGAGCCTTCAGACCTCATCTTAGGCTGGACTCCGGCGAGGGTTTGGGGTTAATGGTTTAGGGTTTAGGGTCCCGGGTAGGGGTTTCAAGAGCACCCTTCCCGCTTTGAAGTTTCAAAATGGGGATCCCATTTTGGTACCCCTAAGTAAAAGGTCCTGTGATATAACCTATACCCGGAAAGGGGCTATAAGAGAACAATCCACATGCGAATCCGTCAGCTCCGCAGACTCTACCTCTACCTTGCAAAGCCTCAAGCCTATGGTCTCTAGACTGTAGGGTTTTGGGCTAACCAGCCGGGATCTTTCCCCTACACCCCACCCCAAAAAAACAAACCCATGAACCTTAGGCTCTGAGCCTAAAATCCTAAGCCCTGAATCCTAACCCCCAGACCCATAAACCCTAAACCCTAAACCCCAAACCCATCAACCTTGAATGAAGCCTGAGGCCTGCTCTGGTGGATCACATCTTTGCCTTCCGAGAAAACGGAGTGCGCCGGCCTCGCCGCACAGACAGGGCCTGTTAAGGGTTTAGGGGTAAGGGTTAAGGGTTCAGGGTTGGGTGGTTGAAGGGTTTGGAGGTAAAGGGTTTAGGGGTTGAGGGTTAACCTAAACCCTCAGCCCTAAAGGGTTTAGGATTGAGGAGTCCGGAAGATGGTGGGGCTTAGGTTTATGGTAAACTGGGGCTACTCAGGGCTTACTGGGTTGCTGTTAAGGCACTAATTTCAATTTACTCTACTAGGGGAACCATATTAATTGTTATGGTAACTTAAAGTAAGTTCCCTAACAGCAACCCAGTTTAGGGGTGTTCTACAGTCCCTTTACACGGGGTTTTATAGGGTGTAGGTTTGGGAGCATTTTCCCCCGTTTTGGGTGCGTATATGCTCAAAAAGCGGGACCTTTTGGGTACTAGGTTACTGGGGATCCTTGACCTATGGTTCAGGGGTACTATAGGTCCTGCTATGGGTCCTGTTAATGGGGTTTTTACAGGGATTGTATAGGGAATATAAGAATTTAGGAGTATACTCCAGAAGACTGGAGAATCCAATAGAAAAGAACAGGGACGATGCCATGTAAGCTGGGTTGGGGGAGTATGTAGGGGTATTTGGGCTGATATGAGCCACTGTCAAGATTAGGGTTACCAGCGCACCATGAAGTGTCATTTTTGTGGTTTAGGGCTTAGGGTTTAGGGAAGTTCAATTTAGCCCCCAACCCTAAGGGTCCAAGTATCCAATAATCATATACTTGCCTAAAGCCTGTACTATAATTACTATTACCCAAATCCCAAGTACATGGACCCTCTGGGTAATATGTACCCTAGTAGGATCCTTAGCTTTTTAACCTCATTGGAGATGTCCAGGACAAGCTGAAACCAATACAACTGTCTGCCAGACTTTGAGGTATCGAACAACAAACGTTGACACGACCATTATCCTCTACGTTTCTGCCTCCGTGCGTGCAGGGATCAATAACCCGTTGTATAAGAAGCCCTCACTTCAGAAGCCCTGGCGCGAAGCGAGGTGCAAAATGTAGGTTCAGATGGTAAAGCAAGAGTAGAACAAAGATCATGATGATAACACGATGATTTTTCAAAACTTGCAACAGCGTAGCTGCAAAGTAAGATGATAACAACAGTTCGGGTCAAGCAAGAAGGAACGCAGATGTTCAATCCCAGAATGCCATGCTTGGATGCACCTTGGGTAACCGATATTCCTATAAGATTCCGGCTTTGTACCGAATATCGGTATATGGTTACATCCTTTTCTGGTGTTTCGCGCTACTCTACTGTCAAAGGTAGTTACGCAAAGGCTATAACATCAACGGATTGTTTGGAATGTGAAGCCATGGCATGGACTCGTCAAAAGTAATTCTATTGTGGAGCAGCATTACAGGATCCATATACTGTGTGAAGTATAGAAGGCAAAGCTACTGTAGGAACCCACAGTGCGTAGTAGCTTTTTTCTTGATGCTTCGTATATCATACAGGTGCGCTGTGTGACAGACTTGTCTTGGAGACTATTACTTCCCTTGGGCTCTTGATAGCCCCAACAAGAGTAAGAGAAAGAAAGAAACAAACCTGGAGAGAGAGAGAGGGAGAGACTCAGGGCTTTGGCCCTGGAGAGAATTGGGCCTCTCATAGCCGGTAGAAGAAGAAGAGAGAGAGAGAGAGAGAGAGCCTCTCCTCCGCACGTTCGGACGGAAATTACAGGTTCCCACACTTGTCCTGCTCATCTTGTTGGCGGATCACAAGAAGGAGTGGAGGGGAGAAATTTGTTGTATGTGTGTGTTTGTTTACAAGGCACTGCCGTGACGTCTTTTGATGAGTAGACAGCCCTACAAAGCCCACATGCCTGCCTTCACATTTTCAGTGGCATACATGGTTCGAGACGTAGAAGGGGCTACAGCTATCTACCCTAGCTGTCAAAGATCCTGACCTCGAACGAACAATCCCCAGCTGTTCCTGAACTCGGAGCCAAGGCTCCAACCTAAACCTGACAGCAAACCTTTTCAACTCACGACTGTGGGTTTGTTTTCCGGCAATGAGGCGTTGTGTGTTGAACGCCGCCGAGTCTGACCTCCACAGCCGAGCAGGCTCCGAGGTAGTAATAGGGTTTAGGGATGTGCGCTTGCTCCTGAGGGCTCAAGTCAAAGTGTATGACTTGCCATAGTAGTTATAACCCCATTATACTATAGTAGTTTCCATGTTCTTTTCCATTATCCCTATATAACCCCTAAACCCTAAACCCCACATAGTGGTTTCCATTTTTTGTTCATTATCCCTACATAACCCCAATGGGCCAGCGAGGATTTCTGGATTTCGGCATATGGATGTAGTCTCCACCATATAGAGAGGAGATTTTGTGGCTGGAGGTAACTAGGGATTGGGTTTAGAGTTTAGGGTTTAAGGTTGTATGAGGGTTCTATGTGGAACATGAAATGGTAACTGGGGGTATATAGGATAGTCATAATAGAGGGTTTATATATGGAGCAATAGCGTGGTAGTCTAGTGTGGTAGTCTACCCATGAGATCTCTCCATCATCCTTTCATCTTTACAGTATGGTATACACCCAAGCCTTATATTCTGGAATATACCATCGGTGCGAACCCCATATGAAGCCAACTCCCACTTCATTTCCATGTGATTTTACATGATTCTAAACATGTAGGCCCCCAAACCCTAATAGACCCTAAAACTTCTAATGTACACCGCAACCCATTCCTGTTTTTTAGGCCCTTACATTACCAATAGATGCAAGTTCAGCGATTTCAGATGCGTACATACCCGACTTATCCAACTTCCCAATTAATGAATGGATATTTGAGGCTTTGGGAAGAGTGATATTTTATAGTATGAATTTGAGGAAGTATATGTTGGACCCTTACCCCAGAACAACCAAAGTCCCCCAGAAGCAAGGCTTCGTTTGGTGTAATATATGATTACCAAGAAATCTAGGGGCCTAAATAATTACCAATATGATGTTTCCATATTCTTTGTATAGATATCGTATACGGTACCTCAAATGGACCCTCAAAATGATATTGGTAATTGTTTAGGCCCTTGTAGTACCAGGTACTTGGACCGGACCCTTAGGATCAGGGTTTTGGGATTTTGCTTGTGAGGGTTTTGAGGTGCTCTTGGCATTTTTTACATTTTTTGAGTGCTGTCGTGGTGCACTTGCAGTATTCTTTCTGGTATTACTCCCTATGCATTCTAGCAACATTAATTTCCCTGATTGGTTTTTTCTGCTTAGTTATGAAACATAAGAAGCCCTAAGTTGTGGCGTGCACGTTCGACACCCCAGGCTACACTACTCGACACGCCCGTCTGTAACCCTCTTCAGCACTGTCTAGTGGACCTAAGCAATCCAAGTTCGAACGCAAGTGACCTGCTGCGCTACTCGTAAACCTTCACCCAAAATCTGGGGTTCCGCCCAAGGTAGATAATTGTGAGCTTGCGCCCTGCTGGAGCACGGGGGCGGCAAGAATTTGGTTGAATCCAGCCATCTTTCAGGAACGTGGCACTTTTTGTGGAGAGGTTTGGCCGTCGAGGGTGCAGGTTTGGCTTGGACCCCAACGTTCACGTCACGTCCTGCACATTTGACACACGAAGGTTTTTCAAGTTCCGCGCCCGCTTTCAGAGGTCGATACTTACACTTTTTGGATACTTCTGGTCTTCAGCAACGAATACAGGGCTCGACGGCATGTGGCTCTTCGGGGGTCCTAGTGGAGGCGCCATCTCAACATCCTGGTGCCGCAACATGTTGAGAACCACAGCAATGTTCATCATTGTTTTGTCCCGTTTTCCAGACTTAACACGGCTTTCGCGGAGGCACGTGCTTAACTCGTCATTTGCCGCTTTTGCCTCACTATGACGGCGTCGTTTCCCAAAGTGTTGGCAGCATGAGAATGAAGGTATCCCGCGGCCATGCCACGTCGCGTTAGGGTTTTTTGGGCGATGCTGGTAGGTGGATGGTAGCAGGATGGTGCAGGCTGCGTGCAATCGAGGCACTAAGTTGCTATGAAACAGTAGCATGACGTGCTCAAGGCGCAAAGTCGCAGTAGTATAGGGCGGCTTGTGAACATGGCTTTGTTCGAGATGCAACGATCTTTGGCAAAACTAGACATGAAGGAGAAGATAGGAGCATTCTGGCAATTTTTGCACACGTTATAAAGCTGAGCTTACACGGCAGGACGGTGCTTGAACGCAGGAGGGTCAGACGGGTCCTACGATGCGAAAGCCAAGTGCAGTAGAGATGTGAGTAAAGCAGGATGGGATCTCGGGAGGGTTTCATTGCATGGCCATGCGTATTAGAATCCTAATATGATGAATGAAGAATTTGACGACATGACTAACCTTCAAGTCAAAATCTCAAAGCTTTAATAACAGTTCAACCACATGGGCCATGGAAGCAGGATCCTTTGAACTTCGCCCTGTCATGTTCCTCATATCGCAAAGCTATGCTTGTATGAGGCTCACCAGTTTCCGTTCCAGCTTAAAGACCCCATCGCACCCCCCAATGGTTTTCACGAAAGGCTGTTCGGACATAATTTACAATGTTCATCAATTACGTACCGCCCCCAGGCGCAGCATCTTGAACTTCTACTTCCGCAATCGTCCATGCTGCCATCATGGATATTAGAGTACTTGGGCACTATGTATTAGTACTTGCAGTGCAGGTATTGGGGAGGTATATGGTTACTGGGTACTTGGGCCCTGAACCCTGACCCTATATAGACTTGTATATCGTATACCTATGTCTAGATACACATACGTGTATACAAATATATGTATATACATATGCACATGGTATATATATATACACGCATATATGCATATATATATATACATATGTAGTTATGTGTATATATATATATCTACATATATATTCTTATGAGTATATGTATACTTGAATATATGTATATGTATATATACACATGTCCTTGAATTTCTCACTTGGATCCGCGGGGCTTTGATTCCACAACACGCAATACGGAAGCTGAGCATCCCGCGATTGAGGTGTGTGTCAGGTGAGTTTGGCAGATTTTGAGACCACATGGGGTTTGAAAAGTGGAGGTCCCTTTGAAGAGGTAATAGGTGATATATTAAGGATAAATAAATCGTATATATACATACACATATTAACATATCAACGAGGCTTGCGGTTTCCGGAATCTAGGGCTCCCTCTTCGGGGGTCCGTTTAATGAGGAGGATTCCAGGTCCTGGGGGTCGGTGGATGTGCATCTAGCAGAGCGTGTTCAAAGCTAGACCACGTGCCACCTGGACCCTTACCCGCCTTACCCTTTGTTTCCCTGTATGTCCTTAAAAACTGCTATGATTTCTTAGATCGCTGGAAAGAGACCCAATCATTGGGTACTTGGACCCTTGGAAAGCACCATGGCAGGCTTGGACCTGTCATCTCACGACTTTTCCGTCCATGTGTTCGGCGCGCGGGGGCCCAGGAAACCTCTTGGGCATCTCAAGCTGCTTGAGTTTCTTCTCATTCCCCTTTTAGTAAGGACGCTACAGGATGCCGCTGTTTCTTGTGGTTAATGTGAGGTTCGTTATAATAACCCCTCCCCCCCCCGAATTTTCGGGCGGACCAATCTCGAAACAAAGGTCCGGAAAATTGGGGGTCGTAATAAAGAACCTCTGGGGCCTGAGCTCTCTCGGAGATAGCACGAGTAAAATTAGGAGTAGGAGCACGTGCAATCGGAGTAAGAGCAGAGCATGAGACATTGAAAGTAAAAATAGGAGTAGTCTGCATCCTCTTAACTTGACACCATGATGTCTACGGATTCTTAGGCCGGAGAGCTTCATTATTATCACCTCTTGTATAACAATTCCGTCCTGAACCCCTCAATGTACGGATAGGTCGTAGAGTATCACGCAAATCGATGGTATTAAACTCAAATTCAAATCCCAAATGTCAGGATTTTTCCGGTCCGGGGAATCCTTTATGAGAACAATGCTTAGATTGAAAGTGAACCCGCATTTCGAGATGGTCGTCTTTCAGATGCTCTGGGATGGACCGGGCCTTCAGAGGGTTTAGGATTTAGGGGTTTAGGGTTTAGGGTGTATCAAATGTTAGCTCCGAATGGCTTTTTAATTTTTTTCAAAATTTTAAGGATTTAGAGTTCGCATCATCTGCGTACGTGGACTTTCAGGGAGAAAAGACTTCAACCTCATAGTCGTAATGCTCGATTTTTTACATATACGAGTGCCCCGCCCCCCAAACATACAAACAGGGTTCCTTGCGGAAAAACCACCTTTGGGAAAACAAAAACTTCATAAGTTTTCCGAGCAGCACATGTGTTCAGAACTAGGCTGGAGAACTGCGCGACGACATTGACTTGGTCTGGGGCCTACTGCCTCAGGTTAGAAGCATACTCTACACTTCTGTAAGCAGGATGACTAGTTTTTAGCCGGACGAAGCACGGCAGGATCTGCAGCTTCATAGAGTTTACACGAGCTGTTTCGAATCCAGCTCAAATCCTTTTCGACGTTGCTTGATTCATAATTTGTGAGGCATCATTTGTACCTGTGCCCAAGGTACCCAGGGCTTGAATCGACGTCACCACGGAGTCGAGGTAAGTACCGTTAAGCTGCGGGGAATAGGGGTAACAGGAAGATGCGCTGTATGAGTTGAGGTACGCAGCCTTTATTAATATGGTCCCCCTTAAGTAGATAGAATATGGCTTGGGTATATTGTAATAACATCCCCATATACCCCATATTCTATCGAGTAGAAAGGGGGATTGTAGGTGCTTATGTGGCCAAGTTAGTGCTGGCCAAGCGGGCGGCTTGCTAAGCTGTACAACACAACCCACAGGGTCCATGTACCCAATAATTAGGTCATTGAATGGGGATATATAGGGGTAGATAGGGTTCAGTGTTTAGGGTCCATGTACCCAATGATTTGGTATTCGGGATTTGGGGAATAGTAATTATAGTACAGGTTTTGGGTAAGTATAAATTATTCAGTACTCCGACCATTAGGGCAATGCATTCTGCTTGTCCCTGTTCAAACATCCCGTGCTCTGGCATATGGCGTAGGCTCCACCTTGCGCTGGTTCGAGAATGTGCCCAGGTTCCTAATCAAGGGTACCCTAGTGTTGAGAGACAACCTAAACTTTGAGCCCTGAATCCAAAGTACTACGCCCTAAGCTAAGCCCTGAACACCGAACTCATGACTCTAGGCCCTGTTACCCATAGTCCCTAAAAGAGAGATTAAACCTTAAACTTAAACACCCAGCAGAAGTTGAGTGGTTGATAGTGGATGGAGCTATGGCCCATTTTGATATGGTATTTTTCCTCCTACCCTACTAGCAACCAGCAAGCTAGGGAAACAAATAAGTCATAGCCAGGCAGTATAGTAATTTGAGTTCCTTGCAAGTACTGTTGATCACGCTTGGGTTTATTAAATAGTTGACCTAGATTTTCACCAAGCAGCTACCGTCGAGTCAGTTATTACAGTAGGTTCATGGACCATAAACCCGACATGCCCCTCTTTATCCGTCTATATCGCTACACATCCTAACCTGCAACCTCAATTACCTACAGTTGAGTAGTTATAACTGCCTAATTCCTGAGTATAACCTCTAAAGCTGTAGGTAATTGGGGTTACAGGTATAGTCTCTACCAAAACCCTAAACCCTAAACCTTAAACCCTAAACCCTAAACCCTAAATCCAAGCACAAGTGCACAAACCTAGGCCGACCTCCGCCACCGCTTCACCCAAGCCGCTGAGTTCGCGGCGCAGGGCCGCCGTGACGGAGGGGCGCCTCGGTTGTAGCTTTCACCTACGCTCGGAAGTACTTCCGTAAGGGTCCAAGTACTTAATAATCATATACTTAGGTCCCTTTAAAGGGGGTATAAAGGGGTATATAGGGGTATATAGGGTTTAGGGTTTAGGGTCCAAGTACCTAATAATCATATACTTACCCAAAACCTGTGCTTAATTACTACTACCAAAATCCCAAGTACCTAATTATTGGGTATGTGGACCCTCTGGGTTTAAGGGTTGTTGAGTTGAGCGCTTTAGGGTTGACGCTGAAGGGGTTTGGGGTTTCAGCGTGTAGGAGATTTAGCCTTCAGTTTTTTTTTTGGTGGTGTAAACAAAGGGTCAAGGCATTCGGGCTTCAGGGTTTAGGGGATGTTGCTTCATTCTCCTTTGGGGGGGGCTTAGGTGGGAGGAGCTCAGGATTCGGGATTTTGGCTTCTGAGCCCCCACGCGTTTTCAACTTGGCGGACATGTCGGGGTTTGCGGGGGCTGTTAGGATGTACTGCCGCAGATACCATAATTAGCAGGTACAACCAGTAACACTTGGCTACAGGTAGACCAAAAACCCTAGGAACACGCAGGAATTCATTTATGCAAACCTATACATGCCCCAGATACAGCCTTAAAGGGACCTGTAATATCAATCCTAAACCGTAAGCCACGCCCAAACTTTTTATCCCCTCATTAGCCCCTTTAAGATCTGGGTTACAGGTAGGAAGAGGTGCGGCTTCAAGCACCACATGTTTGCGCAGTGTCCCGAGGGTACAAAACTGAGTCCCCGAAGACAGCCCTAGGAAAGAAACCAACACCTGAAGTAATGCCCTCGCCCAGTAACACTAGGACAAAAGGCATTACGTATTTATATAACGTTCATGTGACTCCTACTATAAAATGTTACTGGGTTTGGGGCAGGACCCAAACAATTTCCTATAGTCTAAATTCCTTAAGGGGGGTTATATAGGGGATCATATAGGGGACTACTATAGGGGTTACGACCGGGGATGCTAGGCGTTGAGACTATAGCTCGTGCGATTTCATTGATTACGACATGGTAGGGCAGCGAAGGTGCCCACAAGTCCTACAAGTTTTAGGGCTACTTAAATCATCCCTGTGTAGCACGCACAATGAGCTTCATAGTTTTCATCACGAGACGGAGTGGGGGGGGTTCTTACTTTGAGAGAAGATTCGCCTGAAGTGCCCATGTTCCCTCCCAAAACCTGAGCTACAATTACAAACTCCCCAGCCGTGCCGATGTTGGTTACTTGGATTTTGCCTGGAGGTTTACGGGAAGCTATTTGGGAGAGATTCAACTACGGAAACCATAGTGCCTTATCTTGTCAGAACCTGAGTAAGGCTACGCACAGCCTCTCTGTCAAATTACCCATGACTTCCTGGTGCTTGACGTGGTGTGGGCCCCTAGAATCCCCTCTACTTTGAATACCTGTGTTTTCTCCCCCGCTCCTCCTTAAGCACCA